GCTCCCCCCATGCCATCCTGTCCTCCTCCTGCAGAAGGATGGAGAGGCCCAATGGAGACCAAGTGTGCTGCCCCCGAAAGCCCTGTCCCTTGCACCAGGTGACACCAGGGACATGGATGCCACTGCACACAATGACATTTAAATGATAAACACAAACATGATCTATCCCCTGGAGACCTCAGAGGGTGTGTGGTAAGGGTTATCAAGGTCTACAGATGTAACTTTTGCTAGGCTGCATATTCCAAAGGCTCCAGCATAGGAAGGGGATAGAACTGGGAAAAACTGTGGACAACTGTTAGATTGTTTATACAGATGCAGAAAATATTTCTTCAGCTTTCTGTAAAAATAGCTTTCTCATTCTAAGATCACTTTATTTTCCCAGAGTCAAGTCCAGAGTTTGGAAATGTTATTTTTCAGATGCTCCTAGAATCCCAATGACTGGGAGATTCTGGGAGTTATAGCTCAAAAAAGTTGCATAACAAAGAGATAGCAATATCTTCAATCCTCAGTTGCAAAATAAGGCATGGATGGAGGTCTAAAAAGGTCTGGAAATTGTGCACCCACCCATCTAGTTTCAGAAATGTTGTGCTCCCTAACTAGCAGTTTGGAAAAGGGAGCTGAATCATCTGCTTCATCTAGTCTGATCTTCCAGCACACAGCAATAACTGAACAAGAGAAAAGATGAGACTCTAGCAGCAAGAATAGTCTCTAATTGGGATGTAGGTTTCTTACAGGGATGTCAAAAGCTTTGCAAGTGGATTGTGGGTTGAGGAAATAATGTCCAACCACTATGGCTTTCCCACATGACAGGCTGGTTAAGCAGTGACCAATTAAAGAGTGTCTGAAATGGACAGTCTTCACAAAGAAGCTGGTTATACATATACAAATACAGTCATGGCATGAATAGGGAGAGGATCGGATACTAGCAATGGCTGCATTTTATTATGAAATTATTAATTAAAGCAGTAATTCGATTCCAATCACCAGAAAAAAATAGACAACAAAACCTGAAGTGATGTAGGCGTCTACACAAGATATTTTTTTCCTGGGTGTGAATATAGTATGGCAGAATAATTACTGTATATAATATGCAATGTCAATACTCTCCATGGGCTCTGGTTGAATTTGCATAGATATGCTTGACAGAGGCCACAACAAGAGAGAAGAAACATGTTGGGAAATGTGAGAGACAGTAATCGGTCTTTCATAGTAAAGTAATCAAAGATGGATAACCATTCCCATGGCCATGTCCATATATGCAGTGGCATCATGGGGGGTGCAGTGGGGCAGCCCACACCAGGTGACACCCCAGAAGGAGGACATCCCAGAAGGGGGGGTGACCCTAGTTGAGCCCTTCCCCCATGCTCTCTTGAGTGCTTTCCCCATGTTCCCCATAAGCTGTCCCTGTGCGTGCTTCCGGTGTACTTCTCCCTTAAGGGCATGGTAGGAGGGAGCACACACCAACCCCAGAAGTCCCACCCCAGATGCTCCACCCCCTGGAAGCACCTGGCGCAGGGAGACACTGCATGTATGCATGGAGTAGAAAAAAAACGCTTAAGTCTCCTTTGTAAAAAATATCAAAGTTGCTTCATTTACAAAACTCGTGCAAAGTCCAATACATGGTCTTATGGAGAAGAGAGAGAGCTAAAGATGAGAAAATGGCTTCAAATTAAAGTGTAGCTGTTGAAAAGCAAACAGACATTAGTGAGTATATAGATGCAAAGGTTGCTAACTGTCACAAAATGAATGTATGCTGTGTGCAACAATATAACTAGCTGAGTGGTTTCCATATCTAGAAAAATACTGTCTGCATACGGGCTATGTAAAGAACAAATTCCTCCCAACAAATTGTCCAGCATGGGGAACACAGACTTCTTCCAGTCTTCGTCACACTTACATGTGTTCATCTAGACGTGTGACTGAGAGTAGAAGCCCCTTTTGATTGATCTCACAGGGCTGTGTTTAGCTTGTTTGCTGGCACATTTATTTCCTGCTGCACATCTCAATTACTTTTCATTTAAGTAGGTGTTGGCTTCCCTCATCATAATGCAGTCTATCCCAAAATGCAGTATTTCTAGCAAAGGACCAGTGGCCAGCCATAAGTCTGTTCTGGCTCATTTCTCTCATTAAACTGCAAAGAAGTTTTTTGTTTGTGTAATTCCACATAATAATTGGCATTTAAAAATATGTTAAAAAGTATTTCATCCCAAAACATATTTCTAAACATGTATCCCAAAACATATTTCTAAACATATTTCTAAACAGTATTAAATATGCAATTTAATACTGACAGGAAAGCTGCATGGCCAGGCCATAAAGTTTGTCTGCCTGGCTCACTACCATCTGATCTAGAGGGAAGATGTACACCTCTTGGGCTGATTTCTGCCATCTTTCCTACCAGGTGAAACCATGTCATGTATTCAACCAGCTCCACCTGTATATCTTCCTGTAACCTCCTTCTGAGAAATGCATCAAAAATGCCAAATAAATAAATAAATTACTATTTTTCTGCTCATTTGTACTACTAGTACTACTGTTCCTACCAGCCATCCAGGACTAAGAAGGATCAGCATCCAAACTAATTAGTCCAAATCAGCCACTATATTGCAAAATTCCTAGTATTATTTGCTACCTCAACTTTCAGGAATCATTTCACTTGTGCTTGAGAACTGCCAATTTTTGATAGAAGCTGCTATCTGGGTTAAACCTAAGAATAGAAATATGTGAAATAGGGGTTATTATTATTATTATTTTTTGGTATGTCAGACAGATGCCCCAGACATTTAAGAGTTCAAATCAATTGGGTTTGTAATT